GCTCCAGCTCTGAGACAGGAGGCATGGTGGAGACTCTGAAGAGAATTGGAGGTTAACAGAGAAGCAGAGGGAGGCTCTTCCTGTAGTTTTTGAGGGTGGGGGCCATCCACAGCAAGCCTGCAGGCTGTCTGGTTCCCTGCAGGAAGCAGGGAAGGGAGTGGGGAACAAGGCGTGTGCCTTTACTGTAGATGCACTTCCCAAGTGAGATTATAGACATGTCCCCATAGGGTCCCTGGGCTCTGAGGTTTGTTCCCTGGGGGCTGAGTCGAGAAACTTCAGTGCAGCTGATAAAGCCACAATCTCATTCAGAGAGTTTTGTCTTGCTAAAGATATTTCAAAGGAGAATGTTCAAAGCAGCAGACTGTGGTTAGGGATGTAGCTTGGGTTATGGTGTGGGTACCCAGCATGAGGCCTTGGCTTTCATCCCCAGCACCACATTTAAAACAGTGAACTTCGGTTTCAGTGAGAGACTAGCTCCAATAAAGGGTGGTGTCTTGTTCTATCCCTCTCAACCTACTCACTTGAAGTGGGAGCTGGGGTGCCTCAAAATTCCCTGCTTTTTCATCTGTTTAAAACTATATCTGGACTATTATAAAATGGACAGATGGCTCAGTGGTTAGGAGCACTTGATGCTCTTACAGAGGACCTGGGTTCAATTCCCAGCACCCACATGGCAGCTCACAACTGTCTGTAACATGAGTTTCAGGAAATCCATAGTACCAGGCATGCATATGGTGCTCATATCTGTGCATACAGGCAAAATACCCATACACATAAAACTATATCAGATCATTCTATTAACCCAGCACTCAGGAGGCAGAGGCAGGTGAATCTCTGAGTTTGAGGCTAGCCTGGTCTACAGACCAAGTTCTCTCTCTCCCTCCCCACTCCTCCCTCTGTCGCTGTGTGTGTGTGTGTGTGTGTGTGTGTGTGTGTGTGTGTGTGTAAAGGTAACATTCAAGTGTGGACATCAGAAGCTGACATCATGGCTCCCTCCATCTGTATCTTATTTTTGAGGTGCAGTTGCTCACTAAGCCTGGGGCTCAGGACGTTTCTGCTAGGCTGACTGACCAGTGAGTCCTGACGCTCTGCCCTTCTCTATACCCCCATTCTGAGCATTAGAGGTGCACTCTATTGTACCCAGCTTTTATAAGGGTGCTGGGGAGCCCTAACTTGGGTCCTCATGGATACACAAAGCAAGCCCTTTACCCACTGAGCCATCTCCTTGGCTCAAAATCTTTAAAATAGTTTTCGTAACTGGGAGGCAGACAAAGAAAGACTGTTATGAGTTCCAAGCCAGTCTGAGCTACAAAGTGACATCCTGTCTCAAAATAAACACCAATCAGTTGGCCCAGTGAGGTGGCTCAGTGAGTGAGGGGTCTGTGGTGAGACTGAAGACCTGAGCTCAGTTCCCAGAACTCACATGGTAAAAAAACTGAATCCAGACATTTATCCTCTGACTGGAGATATGTGTCTGTCTATCTATCTATCTATCTATCTATCTATCTATCTATCTATCTATCATCTATCTCTAAAATGGTCTAATAAAAATTTTAGAAGTCTTGCTGGAAAGATGACTCAGAGGTTAAAGCACTTACTTCTCTTTCAGAGCAGACCAGGGTTTGGTTCCCAGAACACACATAGTGGCTCACAGCCACCTGTGACTCCACTTCCAATGTGCTCTGGCCTTAGAGTGTGTCTACATGCACATAAACTCATACAGGTATACCTACATACACATACATGAGAAAAATAAATAACCCTTTAAAAAGTCCTAGAAGCTGATCAGTAAATCTGGGAAGCCTTTCCGTTTCTGCTGGTGAGGCTTCTGAAGCACAGTGGGTGATCCAGTTCACGAGACACTTCTGTCAAACACAAACCAAAAGGCTAGCAGCTCGGATGCCTGGAGGCAGCTGAGTTCATCCCCAGTGGTCCAGACTGGAACCCACGCTGAGGGCAAGTATCAGCTGAGGAACAAAGAGGGGCATTAAGGGCAGAAAAACCCCTTTGTGCCTCCAAAGCCACAAGTTCTATGTAGTTACGTGGATATTTGAGGGACAATAGCGTTTTGTCAACAGTCAGCAAAGCGTCTTTGTCTGTGGCGAAGCTGCAGGATCTGGACACAGACAAGAACAGGACGGAAGAGAGGAGGTGGCTATGACCCGCCCTCTAGAGAACACTTTGAAGATGACTCAATGCAATTTACTATTTAATCTGTTTGTTTGCTTGGTTGGTTGGTTTGGTTTTTTTTAGACAGGGTCATTCTGTGGAGACCAGGCTGGCCTCCAACTCACAGAGATAAACCTTCTCTTTTCTTCTTCTTCTCCTTCTCCTTCTCCTTCTCCTTCTTCTTCTTCTTCCTCCTCTTCCTCTTCCTCCTCCTCTTCCTCCTCCTCCTCCTCTTCTTTCTCTTCCTCCTCCTCCTCTTCCTTTCTCTTCTTTTTAAATTGGGGCTGGAGGATGAGGTCTTGACAGTTTCTCATGTAGCTCTGGCTAGCCTCATACCTCGCAATGACTTTAGTCTCACGAACCTATTCTACCATCTTCTCATCTCACTGCTGAGAGTCTAGACATGTGCCACCACACCTAATTGTGAATATTTTTATAACCTATACATGATAAATTAAGTTTACATTTTTTGTTTGTTTCTTGAGACAATGTTTCTCTGTGTAGCCCTGGTTATCCTGGAACTCACTCTGTAGACTAGGCTGGTCTCAAACTCAAAGATTCACCTGCCTCTGCCTTCTGAGTTCTGGGATTAAAGGACATGCCACCATTCCTGGCTGAATTTATATTTATTAAGCCCACACAGGAGATCATTTTCCACCCTATAGACATGTGTCTTGGCTTCATGGCTGAAAGAGTTTTGAAACAATTCCAGAAGGGGAGGACAAGCTCTCTCTTCTACTCAGAATGAATGGGCTCAGAAAGTTAGAAACTGTGAGTAGCCAGGACCATAGAGGACTTATAGTTACCTACCATTTCCTCTCCCCTCCTTAAGATTTTTTTAAGTGTTTAAACTGTATTGATTGATTGACTGATTGATTGATTGATTTACCTTCGAGGCTGTGCATGTGGAGGTCAGGGACAATCTGTGGGAGTCTATTCTCTTCCACCATTTGGATGCCAGGGATGGAACTCAGATGATCAGGCTTGAAGGCAGCCACTTTTACCCAATGAGCCATCTCACCAACCTTTCTCTTTTATACAGGTTCTCAAGTAGCTCAGGCTAGCCTTGAACTCATGATGACAAACTGAGGGTAACCTAGCCTCCCACCTCTAAACTTCTAGCCTGGGATTATGGTGGAGCACTACCATATGGAATGACGAGCTGCTGAGGACTGAGCCTGGGGCTTTGTTCATGCTGAGAGAACACGCCACAGACTGAGCCACAACCCTTCCAGTATTTCTCATCTGCTTGGTATGCAGTGAGCTGTGTACTGTGACGAACACACATGTACACACACACTGCTAATCACCATGACAACCTCATGCCAGAGTGTGGCAAAAGGCAACATGGATCCTGTGCTCTGACCAAAGTGGCCTCACCCTCTGCAGTCACAGCCTCATGGCAGAGAAAGGGAGCCCTACAGCCTGCTGCTGCACAAGAGTCACAGTGCGAGCCAGCACAGTGCGAGCCAGAATTCATAGCTCATTTCCTCTTTGTCAGAGACTGCTGTAAGAGCCACAGCTACCGGTTCACTCAACCAACAGCCCATGAGCGTGATTTGGAAAGTCAGGGGTCTCCATCTTAAAGATAGGCAGCAGAAGACCAGGAGTGGGGTCGCCTGCTCCCAGGCTCCCCGGCTTGCCAGCCTCACCATCCTGGAAACCAGCCATGTGCAAGGATGCCTTCTGTGGGCCTTTATCTTCTACAGGCTTGGAAACATAAGTATGTGGGCTCCCAGAGTTGGATCAGACAGGACACATGCGCAGATCCCCTAGCTGAGATGGGTTCTTGAAAAGAAGGCTGAGGTTGGCAGTTGGGGGTGGGGTGCAGCAAAGTAGGGAGACACTGGTGTTTTAAACATTAGCTGGAGTGTCCAACCTTTTGAGACTGATATGATGCTTTAGTCTACAAATACCTTGAGCCGCATTCACAGCTATCCTGGGACACATGTAGCCCATGGGCCACAGCTGGGACACATTTGCAACATATTTCAATATAATCATTTATAAAACCATATCCTCTCCCCATCATCATGTTAGTGTGTGTGTGAGTATGTGTGTGTGCATGTGAGTGTGTGTGTGAGTATGTGTGCAGTGCATGTGTGTGCATGTGTGTGTGTGTGTGTGTGTGTGTGTGTGTGTGTGTGCTAGGCATGGAACTCAGAGCCTTCGGCATGTTCCACAAGCACTCACCACTGTGCCTCCTGTTCAGCTCTAGACCTTGTGTGATAACAAGGAATGCCATATGTCACACGTACCTACTAGGTGTCAATCACGTGGCTTCTGGGACACCAGTCACATTTATTACTGTCCCCCACAAGCCTGTAGCGCTGCCCCATTTCTCCAAGGAGAGACTGAAGCCCCAGGAGGCAGAGAGGTGGAACCCAGAGAAGGAGTCAAGTGTGCTCTAGCCCTGGCCTCAGTGCAAAGACCTGATCCAGAAAGCCAAGGAGCTGCGGTCATGCCTCGGCACAAAACTGCCCCAGTGCAAGGCACCCATATACACACTCACACTGGAAGACTTCATCTCCATCCCCTATGTTTGTTTCTATGTAGCCGAGGATGGCTTTGAACTCATGATCCTCCTGCTTCAATCTTTGAATGCAAGGATTACAGTACATACCATCACTACAGATCTGTATTTTATCAGCTCGGCAGGGTTCCAAGAGTCAGGACGAGTGGAAGGGGGTGGCCAGGCAAAGAAGTCAGGAAGTCAGGGCAGCTGAAAAGTTCAGTAATTTTTCCCCATTTCACAGCCTAAAAAAGTCCCATTTCTTTCCCACCACTGACCTCCAGTCACAAGAGGGGCCCAAGAACCCGGGGTCACTCACCGCCATGACCAGCTCGAATGGATACTTGTATACTCGGACAGGAGACTGGTATTTTTGCACCATATTCAAACTCAGAAACCACCAGGACAGAGTGAGCACAGAAGCTGGAAACGAAGAGTTACTGGTGAGGTGGCAGCTCCCTTCACACAAAGCATAGACACTGCCTACCAGGTGTTAGGCAGCCCCAGCCCTCAAAGTAAGAAACTGATAGGATTATCAGCTAACCCAGGCCAGGTTCCTGTCCACTACCGAGCACCCCAACCCACACTCAGCCCTCTGAGAGCAAGCAGCACTTCATGCCGTCTCCCCATCCCCACTCCTTCAGAGGCAGTTACAACGCCACCTACTCAAGCAGGCGCACACATTTGCAATTCTTACATTCCCACGATTGTCCTCACACATTCTCCCCGCGACTTGCCACAGACATCCTGCCCTATGCCCACCCCCCACCCCACCCCCAGTATTTTTGTGCCTGCGCTTTCATTTTCTTCCATGATACCCTGACACGTGCACCCTTCTGTACGTTTCACCTGCACCCCACTCCCACACAGGACAGCCCCTGTACACGCAGCACAGAACTTTGCACAGGCTCTCAGCTCCCTGCAGCAACTCCACACACGCGCACTCTATTCCCCCAGGTGCACACAAGTGCGCACCCCCACAAAGCTATTCAAGCATGCATACATGCGCAGGCCCCGCTGCTCCGCTCACCCTCAGAACTGCTGGAGGCACAGTACAGTGCTCTGGCACCTGCTTGACCCCGGAGCTGAGATCCCCAGGAGGCGTCTTGCACGGAGCGCAGAACACAGGAGCTCAATAGCCTCAGTTCTGTAAATCCTACACAAGTAGTGAGTGGCCTGGCGGGCAGAAGAGGGACCAGAGCGCTGAAAGACGTGCCGGCCTGGAGAGCTCCAGGACCCGGGACAGCGGGAGAGCTTGGCCTGGCCTGGCACCACCTCCACAAGATTATCTTGCTCCCTGATTGGTCTGGTCCTGACCCCGCCCCGGTCAGACTCTGCCCCCTGTTTTAAGCCTGCCCCTCATTTTTACTCATCCCTCGCTTGGTCACGCCTTCAGCCCGACCCTTGCTCCCTATTGGCCATGGCTCGAGAAGGCCCCACCCATGTTGACCCTGTCCACACTCACCCAGACTCAAAAAAGGCTCCGCCCCCAGCCCAATCTCCGCCCCTATAAAGACCCAGCCCCCAGGACGCGCCCCCCACCACCCCGTACATTTGATCCTGCCCAGAGTTACAGAGCGCGACTACCTTAGTCCACAGCGACCTCGCTCTGAGTAACCTCGTCTTCAACCTACTGCACCTGAACTTTTTTTTTCCGATTCGGTTTGTTTTGAGGCGGAATTCACACTGTAGACCAGTCGCGGGCATAACTACCTCAACCCCCGGAGTGCTGGGATTTTAGATGTGAGCCACCACATCTGGCTGACCCCTGGCCTTGAGCTCATTCTCCACCTGCTCTTGCCTCAAAGGCTGCAGGGGTCCAGCCCAAACCCTTTTGTATGTATTGTTTACTCACTCTTCACACCTTTACAGAGCGTCCACTAAAAGTCGGGCCCTCCGACGTTAAATAAATTAGGTAGGTTGGAGAGACAGCTCAGCAGATAAAAGCAAGTACTAGTCTTCCAGATGAACAAAGTTCAATTCCCAGCACCCAGGTCAAGCGGCTCACAACGTCCTGTAACCCCAGCTCCAGGGGGATCCAGCTATCTGACCTCAGCAGGTACCAGCATTCAGCTACATAAACATATACATAATTCAAAATAATAAAAGTAAATCTTAAAAAATAAATAAGGTAATGCTTATAAATTGGTATGTAGACATGGAGGAGAGTACCAAGGAGACGATAGTAAAGAAAACAGTCACCGTAGGCTTTGTCCATTCTTCTAACTTCAGCCGCATCCTAACCCTGCCAGACTTCCCAGAGTGCCCAGGGACCAGCTTCCCTCCCACCCGCCCTCCCTTGTCTCAGCCTATCATTTCACCCTGCAAGAGCAAAGGAAATGGCTCTGATATTGTTGCCATCCGTTCGTCATAGCATCCCAGGTAAGATCTTATCGGGACCTCGCAAACAGCATGCGCTAAGCGGTATCTAGGTTATAAAGATCCAGGAGTCAAAATTTCCAGTGTTACCACAAGGTGGCAGCAAAAGATAACCCAAGTAGCCACAGGCTATTGTTCCGTCTCAGGTCTCTGGTGTTTTGCCCTTCCTTGATTCATTGAGGGGACTTTACCGGTCTTCCTCAAAATCAGTACCATGACATTAACGCTGCCATCTGGTGTTTTCACAATCCCACAGTTAAGTCACAACCTTCTCTGCCCTAAACCTTAGGGAAGATGTGACCGTGCTAGGAAAAGAGTGGGTGACATGTTGGATACAGGGAAGTCTGAGGAAAAAGGGGTGCCTGTGCATGGACGGATGAGCTCCGTCCTGCTTCAGCACGAGGGATACAAATTAATACTATCACTACCGCCACACACATGCAGCCTAGCAAGGTTCTGTTAATGATCCCCACCGCTTCATTTGTATGTTCCATACATTCTGCTAAAGCCTTTCAAATATAAAAGCATTTAATCCCAAAACAGCTGCTGTCGTGAAGAAAGGGCTTAGAACTTGAGGGAGCTGGTGCAGGCAGAACACTGTGAAAGAGTTAAATGCCACTAAATGGTCTACAATAAGATGGCTGATTGTATGTTCTACAAATTTCACCTCAACTAAAACAGTAACTGGAGAGTTGTGTTTGCCCGTCTCTGGTGAAGTTCTGGGTTCCATCCTCAGCACCACAGGTAGCCCACCTGGAATATCAGCACTCAGAGATGGAAGCAAGAGGATCAGAAGTTCAAGGTTATCCTCGAGACATAATGACAGAGCAAGTCTGAAGTTACCATGGGCTACATGAGACTGCCTCAAATAAATAAATAAATAAATAAATAAATAAATAAATAAATAAGTCTGGAGAGATGGCTCAGTGGTTAAGAGTGCTCACTGCCCCTGCAGGGACCCAAGTTCAATTCCCAGCAGCTACCCTGAGTGGCTCACACCTGCCTTTAACTCTAGTACCAGGCAGCGTACCCAGTGCTCTTTTCTGGGTACTCATACACATGGCATACACTCACATGAACAGGTAGAAGTAAATAAAACAAAAATAAATCTTTAAAATAAATAAGTAGAGGGGCTGGAAAGACAGCTCGGTGGTTAAAGAGCACTGGCTGTTCTTCCAGTGAACCTGGGTTCAATGCCCAGCACCTACATGGTAGCTCATAGTGGTTCCAATTCCAGGGGCTCTGTGACCTTTACAGATATGCAGGCAGGCCAATCACCAATGCACATAAAATAAAAATAAATATATAGAATTAGTGAGTTTAGGATTCAAGTGAGAGGCCTCACCTCAAAATGTAAGATGGAGAGTGATCAGAAAGACACCTAGCTGGGTAGTGGTGCAGGCCTTTCATCCCAGCACTCAAGAGGCAGAGCCAGGCAGATCTCTGAGTTTGAGGCCAGCCTGGTCTACAGAGTGAGTTCAGGACAGCCAGAGCTACACAGAGAAACCCTGTGTCTTAGTTAGGGTTATTATTGCTATGGTGAAACCATGACCTAAAGCAAGATGGGGAGGAAAAAGTTTATTCAGCTTACACTTCCATATCACTGTTTATCATCAAAGGGAGTCAGGACTGGAACTCACACAGGGCAGGAACCCAGAGGCAGGAGTTGGTGCAGAGGCCATGGAGGCATGCTGCTTACTGACTTGCTCCTCATGGCTTGCTCAGCCTGTGTTCTTATAGAACCCAAAGACTACCAGCCCAGAGGTGGCTCCACCCAGCACGAGCTGGGCCCTCCCACATCAATCACTAACTAAGAAAATGCCTTATAGGCTTGCCTATAGCTTGATCTAACAGAGGTATTTTCTTAATTGAGGTTCCCTCCTCTCAGATGACTTTAGCTTATGTTGAGTTGACATACAATTAGTCAGTAAACCCTATCTCAAAAACAAACAAAAAAAAAGTGGAAACAGCCTCCATATGCGTTTGCACACGCAAGCATCTGCATCCTCTCACACACACGCGCACATGCACACACGGAGAGGGGGGAATAAACTAGATATAACATGAGAGTGCCCGCTGCAACCATCTCACTGTGTAACGCAGCAGCTCTCGGTGCATTCAAAAGGCTGTGTAACCAGAGTGGGGCTGTCTTCACAACACTCATCCTCAGGAAGCTATCCCTCCTCTCAGCCTGCCCCAGCCACGGCCCAGCCACCGCTTCTGACGGATGTCGCATCTGCCCCTGATGTCCTACACCTGTGCTTGCTCCAATTCTCAGCTCACAGCTCAGGGCCTCCTTGTTGGGGACCCTCTAGGGCCATCCAGGTCACAGTTGGGGCCCCTGTGCACAGTTGTTCCAGTAGTAACCTGCACAATATCTCCCAGTATTCCCTATTCCCTGTCATTTTGAAGCCTTGGTTAGGCAGGGGCAGGGTCTGGAGGAGCTGATGCAGAGGCCTGCAGAGTCGGGCCCTGCCCACTCTGATCCCTAGCCTTCTGTAAGTCTGTTCATTCCCATCAAGGCTTCTGGACTCCATCCAGAGTCACCTGTCAGCCAAAGGTCACATAAAGGCGAGAAGACTTTAAATAGTGGAGAAGCCTCAGTGTAGGTGAGGGGCACACAGAGCTGGGTGGCTCTGTAGGCAGCGTGGATGCTGTCATAGACCCACCCCCCTGGGTGAACTCTGCCCCTCTGCTCACAGGTGTGTGGCCGTATCGTCCCCTCTTTCATTGCATTTCACTTTAAAATTTATTTTTTTATTTTAAATTTTGTGCACACATGAGGGCAAAAGCTGGCAGAGCCGAGACCTTGGATCCCCTGGAGCTGGAATTAGAGGAGTCCCGGGAATTGAACTCGGGTCCTCTGTGAGAGCAGCACGCCCTCTTAAATGCTGAGCCATCTCTATAATACTTGTGCCTGTTTCCCCTTTAGACAGTTTTGCTATACATCCAAGGCTAGCCCTAAGTTTATCAGCCAAAATCTTCTCTTCCCAGCCTCCTGAGAACTGAGATTATGGGTGTGAGCTACCACAGATTTGGTCAAGAATTTTGTTTTGTTTTATCCATAGCTGGGGATGGACCCCTAGGGCCTCCCTCCAGGCTGCTGGGCAAGTGTAGTGTCCCCAACCACCCTTCTTTCCTTTCTGTAACTGAGTCATCCTCATCTGTGGACAGGCCACATTCCACTCTCCTGTGGAGAACAAGCATCTGAGCTTACAGGGTGGCTTTTACAGGTGGATGAAAAGCATGTGAATAATGTGAAGATAATCCAGACAGACACCTGCCAGAGAGGAGTCAAGTGTGGACCATGAAGCAAAGCTAGGCTCCGTTTCACACTCCTCTGCCTCAGTCTCCTGAGCTTCCAGCAGGAGGTGTGCACCATCATGCCCAGCTCTTGGGTTCTGAAAACACCTCAAAAGGGACAGTGGTGGCGTGTGTTTTGGAAGCGTCTCTGCCCACAGTGTCCCCTAAGGGTCCTGGTGGTCACTGATTACCTGCCTACCCTCTGGGTGAATATTTTGGGGGGTATCTATGGTGAAAGACAGGATACAGAAAGGAGAGATCCTCTTTACCCCTTACTCCCTACCTTCACCAAGGCCCTTTCCCTGCTTGCCCCAGCGCTCCTGCTGGCCCAGACCCAGGATCCCTGCGGACTGGGGAAGGTACCCCATGCTGGTTCCTAGACTGCTGTCATGGGTGTCAAAC